AAAAAACCAAAAAAAAAAAAAAAAAAAGTCCCCATCTTTAAACAAAATAAAATAAAATAAAAAAGCATCTCAAAAACATGGCCAGGAGCTGGGGCAATAATTTGGAGGGTAAATGAGCTACTGCACAGGCATGAGAAACTAGAACCCACATAGAGCCAGGTGTGGGAGCACACCTCTAATCCAGGTGTTCCTGAGACGAGACACGAGCCAAGGCTGAGTCTCCTGAAGCTCACAGGCCAGCTGTCCTGCTATGTAAAGAGTCAAAGAGACCCTGCCTCAAAGCAAGGCAGAATTTGAAGACTGACCCCCGAAGTTGTCCTTTGCTTTCCACACACATGCTATGGCACACATAATACCATACCTGCATACACACACCACATGCCCATACCTAGACATAGAATTAAGCACATATACTCCCAACAGAAAAGGAAATTAGCATAACCAACACAGAATAATTGATTTCCTAATCCCATACACCAGCCCTCCTAAGCCTCCTTACCCACTACCATAAGTTAGGCAAAATCCTTGAAATTCTTATATCTCACTAATATATATCAGCCCAATTTCCAAAATTTTCTCCTATCCAGCTATTTCTTATCTTTCCTGTTCTCTCCCTAGTCTAAGCGACTATATTGTCTCTTTGTGTGTGTATAGAGGGGGATTATATGTACATGTGTTGGTACACGTGCCTGTGCAGATACGCACTGGAGCCACAGGAGAGCATCAGATGGCCTCTAGCAATCCCTGCCTTATCCTTTGAGGCCTGTTCTCTCCCTGAACCTGGGTCTTGTGGGTTTGTTGTTGTTTGTTTGTTTGTTTTTCTTGGCCCCAACAACCCTTTGCCCTTACAGTGCTGAAATTACAGGCATGTATGAGATCACGTCTGGCTTGCTATGTGGGTGCTAGGGGTTCAAACTCAGATACTTATGGTTACTACTGAGCCATCTCTCTAGCCCCCAAGACTATCATCTCTTCTCAGTGGTCTCCCTTCTTGCATTCTTGCCCATTTAATGACCAGAAGTACTTTTTAGCTAGGTACAGTGGTAAATGCTTGTAATCCTAGCACTTGGGAGATAGAGGCAGGAAGATCCAGAGATCATAGTCACCCTCAATTATGTAGTAAGTTCAGTGCTAGCCTGAGCTACATGAGACCCTGGCTAAAAAAAGAAGAAAAAAGCCAAGCTAAGAACTATTAAAAGCTACAAATGTGATCTACAAATGTTAGTCTACAAGCTATGGATATGGCCCAACCCAAAATCACAGGAAAGTCCCTGGGGCTCACTAGCCATCTTGGCCTGCTTGGTAAGTTCAAACTCCAGGAGAGACACTGTCTCAAAACAACAAAAGTAGAGTGTATGGTCTAGAAAGATCTTCACAATTAAGAGCACCTCCTGTTCTTCCAGAAGAGCAGAATTGGATTCCTAACACCTGTGTCGTAATCCAACACCTTCTGGCCACCTTGGTGCCCCACACACCTGTGGCAGACACACACAGAAAGAAATCTTGAGAGGCTGGAGAGATAGTTCAGCAGTTAAGGGCACTTGCCTTTGCCAAGGACCCAGGTGTGGTTCCTATCACCCACATGATAGCTTAAAACTGTCTATAACTCCAGTCCCAGGGGATCTAATATCCACTTCTGGAGTCCACAGGCAGCAAACATGCACTTGCTACAGATACATACATGTACATTTGAGGGTAATGGACAAAAATTAACAGGGAGCAGGAGAAGGTAAGTTCAGGGAACTTGAGTTAGAATTTGCCAGGGCACACTAACCCACACTCTTGAATTCTTTTTCTCTAACCCATTTATTTGCCACAGTATAGCAAAACAAATGGAACTTTAAAAATCTAAAATCTACTTTTCTTTTGAGGCAGGAGATTTTTTTTATTATATTTATTGAGCTCTACATTTTTCTCTGCTCCCTCCCTGCTTCTCCCCCTTCCCCCCTTCAATCCTCCCCCAAGGTTCCCATGCTCCCAATTTACTCAGGAGATCTTGTCTTTTTATACATTTTACTTCCCGTGTAGATTAGATCTATATAAGTCTCTCTTAATGTCCATATTGTTGTCTAAGTTCTCTGGGATTGTGGTTTGTAGGCTGGCTTTCTTTGCTTTATGTTTAAAAACCACCTATGAGTGAGTATATGTGATAATTGTCTTTCTGTGTCTGGGTTACCTCACTCAAAATAATGTCTTCTAGTTTCATCCATTTTCCTGCAAAATTCAAGCTGTCCTTATTTTTTTCTGCTGTGTAGTACTCCACTGTGTAAATGTACCACTTTTTTTTTATCCATTCCTCCTCGATCGAGGGGCATTTAGGTTGTTTCCAGGTTCTGGCTATGACAAACAAAGCTGCTATGAACATAGTTGAGCACATGTCCTTGTGGCACGATTGAGCATCCTTTGGATATATACCCAAAAGTGGTATTATTGGATCTAGAGGAAGGTTGTTTCCTAATTTTCTGAGAAATGGCCACGCTGACATCCAAAGGGATTGTACCATCTTGCATTTCCACCAGCAATGCAGAAGTGTTCCCTTTTCCCCACAACCTCTCCAG